AAATGCACCTCGTGGGTCTTGTGTGGTGGGGCACACGGTGCTGTGGGGCATCCCCGCAAGAGAAAAGGGGCTTGGGACCAGCCTGTGGCCCTGGGGACTGTCACAGCCCTGTGTTTTGAGCCAGCTGTTCCCGCAGGTGACCCAAAAGATGCTTCTAAGGAGGGAGCATTCCTCTTTGATCATGGCAGGGCTAAAGTGAAGCCAAACCAGCGTACAGGCGTCCCTGGTGCTGCGGCCTGAGGAGGCTGAGCCGTGAGCCCAGGAGCACGGCCAAGAGGATGAGGCTCCTCCCGCAGAGGCAGGCACTGGGGGGGTTTGGGCGCACCAGCCACCCTCTAACACTGGAACAGCAAGCCCCAGCCCCGAGCGGGCAGCGATGGGCGCCGGCAGTGAGGTGAGCTGGGTGGGAGGGTGTAAGGGTGCATCCGCTGCAGGGATTCCTCCCGTGCTGTCCCGTTGGGAATTACTCGGGAGCCCCTTCCACGGGCTTTCCCCACAAAGCGGCGCCAGCCGCAGCTCTCCCGTGCTCCCTGGCTGCGGAGGGATGGAAGCGCAGCTTCTCCCTGGAGCTGAGCAGGAGTGAAGGGAAGGGGCGGCTGAAGGAGGAAACCTGACAGGACAAAGGCAACACCAGCGCCTGGAGCATCGCCGAGTAACCCCGTGTAAAGCCTTCCTCACCCTGCCCCAGCTCCTTGCTGGAGAGCATCGCTCTTAGTGGGGCAGGGGCTGGAGGTGTAGGAGATGCAGATCCGTGTCCCCAGCCCCGCTATGGGGTGGGCATGATGATGCTCATCTCCGGGGGGGGGGGACGGGACGACGACACGCACACCGCCACCTCCCGCTTTTGCAGGTAGGGTTTAAATTGGGTTTTACCCCTCACAGTCACAGATTCCTACTCTTTAAGGCCGGGGAAGAGAACAAACGAGACCCAAAGAGACCAGGGCCTGTGACCGGGATGCTGGCCCCAGGCGGCTGAGCCCAGCCCTGCCGGGGGAGAGGGGCAGGTCCCCACCGGGGAACGGGCAGGGTCCGGAGCGCATCCCAGCCGAGCCTATGCCCACGGGGAAGGGCAGCCCCGTCCCGCAGGACGCTGCCGCGGCTGCACCGCCTCCTACCGGCCAAGGGAGGAAGCGCCGGCCCCGAGCGGGGGGACCGCGGCTCCTTCGGCAGGGCCGGGCGGAAGGCGCAGCCCGGTTTGGGGTTAAACCCCACTGGATCCCGGGGGAGCGAAGAGCTGTAGGGACCAGCACATAAGTTACTGCTAAAGCTGCGGGAGCTGGAGCTGTCGAGCGCATCCCCAAGCAATACCGGGTGAGACCAAAGGCACCCCCAGCATGCTGAACCCACGCAGCACCCACGGTAGAAGGGGACAGCGGCTTGGGGGAAACCCAAAGGGCTGCTCCCAACTTCCCAAGCTCGCAGACTCACCTGGTCCCGGGGTGGCAGAGAGGGCTTTCCAGGGGGAAAAGCCTCATTGGTGGCAGCACCAGCTCCAAAACCGCATCATTTCATCGCTCTGCACCTCAGTGTAAGAAAACCCGTCCTGGGATCCACCTCCCGAGCTCCCCACACCGTCATTTATGAGCAGCAGAACTGCCAACGGCTCAAGTAACTCATTTAAGCACTTAAGGTCTTGCTTTTGGGGTCTCGTTGTTCCAGCAGTGCAACCCTCCAGCCCACAACACACAAGCCTCAGACCCCAATCAGCAGCCACAGCCGAGTCCTGCACTTTCAAAGATCAGATGCCCTCCAGCCCCTCCTTATTTATGGGAGGTTCGTTCTTGCAAGCAGCATCTGATCAGCTACTAAAGGAGAAAATCAGCTGCCCCTGCCCAGCCACAGCCTGAGCCGGCTGCCACATCCCCCGGGGTAGCGCTGGGAGGCTCCATTCGCCAGTAGAACGAATGCCTCAGCAGCAGCACACAGCGGAAGCCTCAGCAACATCCAAACTGGTCTTTGGGGCACTAACGGAAGTGCTGCCCTCTCTCTCTGTGTCGGTCCTTAGGTTGTTAATCCCCGAAGTGCCAGGGACCCCGAGGTGCAGCAAAGCTGGGCCGGGGGCAAGCAGGGCTGTAGCCATGGTGCGTGCTGTGCTGGTGGTCCCAGCTTGGCACTGCTCATAGACATCAGGGTCAGCAGGCACCAGCACTCAGGGACAAGGGGTTTCTTGCCCTTGCACCCTTCCCCTCTCCACCACAACGTCGTGGTGCTTCCTCCGCTCTCAGGAGAGGTTTTCAGTTTTTACCTTCTGGTTTTGCGCTCCGGGGTGCACCCGGGTCAGTTTTGGAGGCTTTTTGTTTCCTGCACCGGTAGGAAGAGGAGGCACGGAGCACCCATGAGACCCCTGTGGCTGGGATTGAAACACCGGCTGCTGGTAAGGATGTGCGAGCCTGCCAGATGTGTGTGCCCGCCTTCCTGGGAGCCCAGGGAGCCCGCCAGGCACACGTCCTGCAGCCTCAGGACTGCAGTGCTATGAGCGCTCTCTTGTGCCAAGAGGCTTCCGGGCTTCAAGCAGAGCCCACGCTGGGTTTCTCCTGCAGTTAAGTTTTAGAGGCACCGTGGTGAGCAGCAGAGATGCTGCAGGGACCCCAGGACCCTGGGCCAGGCTTCTCCTGGGGCTGTGGCCGTGAGATCAGACTCTGCTATGGGGCAGCCCCCCAGCCGGCTGCGTCAGCCCCAGGACAGACTCCTGCTTGTACAACCAACCAGGAGGGACCGGAGCTGCCTTCGGGCTCTACAGCCTCATTTCTCCTTCAGTGCGAAATCCAGGATTTTCCCGGTGGCCTTTGGTCCCAAGTGCTTCCTCAGGGGCTGAGGAAGAGGAGCAGGGGAAGAGATCAAGACACTCAAGATGTGTCTTGAGCATAGACAACACAGGGTGGCACTCGGAAACCACTCAGCTGGAGCCATCCCCCTTGCACTGGTAAAACCCACACTGAGCACGTTCCTGCTGTGGAGCTGCCTTTGGTGGGCTTCCCTACAGGAAGGGGATGGAAAAACTCGGGCATCACCCAGTCTGGACCCCCCAGCTCTGCTCCCTGCCAAGCCAGTTCCCATTGATCAGGATCCATCCTAGTGTGTGCTGGGGCCTGATTCCTCTCAGAACCATCACAGACACGGAAGCCAGCTCCTGGGTTGCTCTCGGGCTGCCACAGAGCAGACACAGACATTACAGCAGGCAAATGCTTCCCATATGCCTTTATTTGCAGGTTACAGGACTTCTTTACAGGCACTGTGCGTTGGTGTTGCAGCCGGTTCAGATTGTTTTCTGTATTACCCAGTGACTGAGAGGGGAGCTGGGAGCAGGGAAAACCCCTCCAGCAGCCCTTCCAGCCTCCAGAAAGGCATAAGACATCTGAGGGGAACAATGTGCTTCTTCTGAAGCCATGAAGCAGGGGATCTGGTTTATAAACAGGCTTACAAAATAATATACATATGTAAGAGCAGCTCAAAGCTAAAGTACAGCAGTAAGTGGTACGTATCTATGCGTATCTGTCCATACCCCTTCTCCAGAGCTGGAAAAGGGATGGTTTAAAAACTAAAAACACAGTTAAAAAAAAAAAGAGGGGATTCCATGCATTAAGTTTTAGTGTTTTGTGCAATTAAAATGGGATGAAAATAAATATAACTTAAAAAAAAACAACCCAACCTTTTCCATGACACTAATGGAACCAGAGGCAAGTCTATAAGGCACTTCCACATGGGCTATTCTAGAAAGCCTGGCAAGGAGCTAAAACAGTGCAACCATGTACAATGGCATCGGACGAGCTGAAGACGTGTCTGGTGAGAGATGAACTGGGAAAAACCTTAGGAGACATCAGTCCTGGGGAAAGAGGCCGGGGCATGGCTGCGGGCAGTGCAATGGCCAGCTCCTCATTGCTCAAGGAGAGCTCCCACCGAGGGTGCTGGACCACTGAACGACGGCAGAGGGGCTCTGGAGCATCGCTCCTGGGAGCAGGATGAGACGGTGGCTTTGGGGATGGAGCAGGAGTTTGGCAAGCTCCTGCATGATCTTTATGTCCTCACCATGAGGGCCTCCCCTCCCCTCCCCACCACCCTCTCCATGGCTGACCTTTGGAGCCAGCCCTGCTGCGAGCAGCTGAGTTCAAATGTTCCAGGAAGTTAAAGAATAGCCTCCACCCTAAATAGGGAACTGGGTGTTTCTGAAGGAGCAGGAGCGCTGGGGCTGTCCACACAGCACTGAAGAACCAAAGAAGACTGATCAACCTGGATGGCTACTTCAGGTCTCATAGTAGTCCCTTATAAGCTATTTTTCTCTCCCCCAGCCTTGCCCAAAGTCTTTATTCACTGTGGAAGGCTGGAGATCCCAGCAAACGAGGGCTGGAAGCAGCTCCAAGCAGGGAAGATGGGTCTCTAGAGAGGAGGCTGAAGTGTTAGCCACCATTCCAGTGCAGCCAGCATGGGAGAATGGGTGGGAAGCATCTGGCCATGGTAAATACCTGTGCCTGACCACATGGCTCTGCAGCAGGAGGGAAACCACTGCGCTCCAGTGTCACCTGATGGTAACTGAGCAACTGCTATGGATGTCTTGAACACAAGGAAAAACCCCATTCTGCCCTTCTAGCATCATGTAAGGACTCAGCACAGCTAGCTCTCTAAGCTGAAACGTGCTGGCAAAGATGACTAAAGGCTCCCACCCCAGTATCCTTCGACATCTCCGGGCCTTGCTCACACACGCTGGCTGCCAGAGGGTCCTGGGCATGGCCATTGAGTTTTTTCAGGATGAAACTACCAATCCCAGCACAGGGAGAGGTTCCTTCCTCCACCAGCTCTCTTAAAGGGTCTTAAAATCAGGCTGTGCAAGAGACATAAGTGTGATAGGCAAAGCATGTGCTCGCCTAAGCATCCCCATCCTGGCTGGCACGGCTCATGCTCCCACTGGCTCTGCAAGGCCAAGGTTTCAAGTTCACTTTTGTTCTGGCAGGTTAGCTCTCTATTTACATGGAGAGGAGGAAAAAAAAAGGAATCAAGACATCCTAAAAAACCACAACGAAAACACATTAAATAGGGAGAGTGTAGCTTTCAAATGGGAAGGGCCAGGGCTGGAAAGTGTCTTGTAGTGCAGTTCAGAAGTCAGTCGGGGGCAGGTTGGGGGTAGTGGCAGAGTCGGATGCATGGCTTTAATGTAAGTCTTCGTTCTGGGACAGCTCTGTCAGGATCTGAATGAGGTTGTCCAGCCCCCAGAGGTAGCCATCCTCTCTGTTCCCTTCTACCCAGGGCACGTTGTGCTGCAGAACTTGTCCCTCCGGCAGCGGGGTGGTTTTCCCAAAGTCAATCATCCAGACTTTGGCCTGCTCCTTCTTGTCATGAATGAAGAGGAGGGAGCTCCCGATTACCTGCAGAGAGGAGAGACCAGTGAGCGATGCTCCTATTGCTCAATCTCAGCCAGCTTCAGGGCTTTCTTCTCTCAGGCTGCAAGAGACGATGCTGAGATTTTGCAGGAGCAAAAAAGCAAGCCCTGTGTGTAGCTGGCTGCGGCTGCAAAGCAGACAAGCTGATTTACTCATACAAATCTCAGCTCTTGGCAGAAAGAAAGGATCAGAGAAACATGGGCATGTAAGACAGAGGTGTCATTTTGGAAAATGAGTCAAGGGAAGGAATGGGATGAATTGTCTCAGACTGCTATAGGGATTTTTTCCAAGGCTGGTTCTTTGTGACTGGCTTGTGCTGTTCAAACTCACCAGCCCTGCAGCCATCAATCACCACAGGGACGGGGATGCTCCAGGTACAAGTTACTTGCAGTGTGCTCTCCCCTGCCTCAAACACCATCCAATTGCACCCACATTCTCCCTAGAACATGCTCCTGGCTTTCACAGTGCTCTGGGAATGCAAGTTACAGAGGTGCATGTAGGTGAATTTCCTTATCCATGAGTTCACTCAGCTGCATCTGCTTTGAAGAGCTCTTTGATATCCTGATCATCCTTTGGGAAAATCCTACAAGTATTCTCTGGGCAAGTGTGGGGAAGCCCAGAGATGCATTTGGGGAGGTGAAGCACAACACCTTTTACAACATAAGCCTCAAGGCCTATCACAGAGTGATGAGACCCCACAAGCCCAGTGCTCACCACCCACAAAGCAGAGATGCTCAGCCTGTGGGTACCTCCAGCTCAGCCCAGCCTCCAGACTGCCACCCATCAGCAACTCTGCAGTGGCTACCCAAGGCTTGGGAACACACATCAGTGTCAGGCCATGCACCATTGTGCTCTTCTGCTGAATCTGCTCCTCAGGTCAGGTTTTAGCAGGCAATACTACAGAAAAAGCACCAATGGGTGCACTTCAGAGCTGGCCCACATGAAGATTGCTTCCCAAATTATGTCTGACGTGCACGAACTGGTGGATGATGAACTCACTTGCCCTTGTATCGGCAGCAGTTAGACAGGACACAGCATGCCCAGAGCCAGGATTGCCCCACACAGTGTGCAGATACATGGAGGAGCACAGCTCTAGGGGCATCCAGCTGGTGTCAGCCCTCTGAAACAGCAGCACTAAATGTTACTGGGGACTCCCACGGCTGTGCTGTCAGTGGGATTTAGTTTGAGGTCTGCCTTTTAGACGAGGGGCTCAGATGGGAAGCGTGGACTGTTTGCAAAAGCTATTATGAATTTACATTTTTGAGGAGACTTCCTCCTCCAGCGCATTGGGAAAACATCCAAGGGCCAGAGATACATGTTATTTCTCAGAAATGCTTATCTTCTTCTAAGCTCTTATAGCCCACTCTTGGCCCGGACAGAGCATTCTAACAGCAAGAAAATGCCTGTCCTGGGTCTCCAAATTCTCCTGCAGCTCCTTGGAGGAGCCCTGCCCAGCGAGGGCCCTGTGGAGGGACACACAGAGCTTGGCAGACTTTCTGCTGTGCTTCATCTCAAGAAAGTGGGACAGAAAGTCAGAGCTGCTGCTTTTTAATTTTGAAGGAGTGGAAACTCTTTTCAAAGCCTCCCTGAAAGGCTGTTTTGTTTCTGTGTTTCCAAATGAAACCCTGGCGCTTAGCTTCAGGGAGCATTTTGTTTCCTGCGTTGAACTGACCTGAAACCCTGGGGTTTGACAACTCCCTTCCATGTGTGGCTGCGGCCAAGGTGGCTCCTGGTGAGGGGCAGTGGGCTCTTGGAGCTGTGGCTCCTGCTCTCTGAGTCGAGGGCTCCTATGATGCTCTTTTGCCCTTAGACAACACATGCCAAGGACATGCTCTCTCATGTTTTGTTAAGCAGATGCAACAGCAAATACTCGTTGCCAATGCTGAAGCAATAACACGGTATAATTAGATTATGGAGTAGTCCAATTTCATTGAAACTGCCAAGAAATGTAGTGCTTCCTTTTTGTATTCCCACCAGAGATCAATTTTCACTGTAGAAAATGTTGATTTCATGCACATTCATTTCTGGAGGAAGTTCTTTTCAGGGGAATCATGTAGTGACAGGACAAGGGGGAATGGCTTTAAACTGACAGAGGGGAGATTTACACTAAACACTAGGAAGAAGTTCTTCCCTGTGAGGGTGCTGAGGTGCTGGCACAGGGTGCCCAGATGAAGCTTTGGCTGCCCCATCCCTGGCAGTGTTCAAGGCCAGGTTGGATGGGGCTTGGAGCAACCTGGTCTAGAGGAAGGTGTCCCTGCCTGTGGCAGGGGGTTGGAGCTTTAACGTCCCTTCCAACTCAAACCATTCTGTGACTATAATTCTATGACTAGTCCTTACTCCAGCTCAGCAAAGGCCTGCAATACTGAAGCCTTGCTTGATCACATGGAGCAGCCACACAACACCTGATGCACATTTAGACAGGCCTTCGTCTCTAGAAAACCCGTATACTTTCACACTAAGGAGTTTTACCCATCATAAGCAGCCAGAATTCTTCCTAAACCACTTTTAATTTGTATGAACACCGGCTTTCAGTAGATGTGAGCCCATGTCAAAGACATGAATATCTCTCAATCATCAGCTGATGAAGAATTAGATAAACAGGGGTATGAAAATAGGGGTATAAGGATAAATTCAAAACTGTAGACATTTACAGCCTTTGACTTCTCTCCTTGGACAATCTGAGATCAAACCATTTGCATCTTGAAGCAGATCTATCTGAACACGAGTCTTTACCTCATGACACTTGAAGAATGGGGATGTCTCCAGCGTAGCACGGATGCCCTTCAACCGGTTAAGGTAACTGTTCTGGAATTGAACAGACACAAACAAAACCCCCAAGCTGTCAGTGCTTCAGGAAGCCTACATAAAACTGCTGCACGGGGCAGGCAGGAACATCACCCCTCCCAGCACCCTCTCCAGGACACCAAGTTTGCATGGAGAGATGCTGGTGGTGTCCCTCAGCCGCAGTGTGCTCAGCATCCTCACACAGACCTGTCCTGCGGGAGTGTGTCCCCTCCTTTTTGGGATCCACTCATCCCTTTGGCCTCTACATCATCCTGTGAGCTCCTGCTGCTTCCAAAACTTAACGAGAGCATTTGCTTGTGCTGAACCAGTCCCTTCTGCAGGCTTTTCCTGCTGCATCCATTGTGCTCCCAAGGAGGGAACAGCTAATTCAGCAGCATGCACAGCCAGGCTGCTTTTTAATCCCACCTGCACTCTTTTTAACAGGTCAACTCTTCACCTCTGTTGCCATTTTACTACTCAGTCAGCCAAGCATCATAAGATGCTTCTGTAACTCCTTATCAGCACTTCTGCAAAGCTGCTACCACAGGTGGAAGTGCTTTCATACTGGTCAGCACACAGGTCAAGACCCAAGTGCCTGTTCAAGCATCCCTGCAAATTGCTTCAAAGGTGGCCTCTTTGATATCATGTTGAGGTTTAGATAGAAGGACTAAGTGCAGGAGCACACAGAACAGATATCTGGGCACTATAATACACCTCCATTTTCACACTTTGCATGGGGAGATGCACAGGGAGATGTATGGCAATGGTTTTGCCAAGGAGCCCAGTCTAGAGCCAGGGTATGATGGTGTGAGCGTGCTCCAAACTTTTGGGGGATAAAATGCAGCCAAGCAACTTCATTTGCAAATCCAGGAACAATCCCTGGGTATCTGTTGGCAAAGTGAATGTGCTTGGCTTGAAGGAGGCAGCCCCAAGGGCCGCTCCAGCTGCAGCCTTGTGTTTGTAGGCTTTATATAGTACAGCTTAAAATGGAAGTGCTTTGTCAAACAGGATATTTGACACAGTCAGTGTAAATTGTTTACTGCTCCATCTCTTACTCTCCTGGCAACACAGAGAAACTTGGGAAATGCTGACTGCGGCTCGGCCACGGGGAGGGCACGTGGCACGGGTAGGGACATGCTTTGGCCACCCTTCCTGTGAGACCAAGGGCAGGGCAGCCTGCTTGGCCAGGGTGGGAGCCCCTGCCATCACATGCTGGTGTACAAAACAAGCTCAGAGGCTGCCGACAGCCCCATGGAGGAGGGGGCAGAGCATGGCTGTGCCTCCCAGCGGGTTCTGGAACCAACCCTTGAGCATCCTCAGCACGGTCAGACACGGCTGAAGCAGTGCTGCTGCAGCTAACGTGTCCCCTCCCAGCCCTCCGCTGCTCCCCCCTCATCCCCGTGCCAGGATGGGGTTTCTCTGTGCCAGTTTTCATGCAGCCGCCTATGGCAAGGAGCTGATGAGCTGAGGGCAGCCTCTGCAGGAGGAGCTGTCTCCAGGCAGCCCCCCAGCATCACCCACTCACCAAAACGTTGCGGTTTCCTCTGGTGAACTCCCTGAAGGCCTCTGTGACTTGCTCCTTTGTCCGTGTCTTCTTGAAGTCCCGGTTCACAGTGCCGTCCTCTTTCTTGAAAAGAAGGGAGAGCAGTGAGCAGGGTGGGGAGGGAAGGAGCTGGGACGGGACTGGTGTTTCAGCAGCCATGCATGTCTCTGAGTAGGATGCAACCAGCCTTTTTGGCACCTGAAGGACCTGTCTACGCTGTGACTATGAGCAGAAGCAGCAGCTCTCTGTCTTGCACATCCCAAATCATCCTACAGCTCTGCTGCATTGCCCCTTAATGCAAATGGCAAGTCTCCACTATCATACATTTGCTGAGGTCACCGGCAGTGTGGACAAACTACCTCTCACAGATCTGGTGCTTGCTGCCAGCAGGCTGGAGATCACTCACTTCTGGCCACACTGTGTGCAAAAGGCTTCCCTTCACTGCTGTGGCTGAGCACAGGCACCAACACCAGCCTCAGGCTGCACCCCTGCTTGGGGAAGAAAGCAGAGCACAACCACAGGAGGACAAAACTCAGTGTGGACAGAGACAACATCTCAGGGCTGGCACAAAAACCCTTCCATGCTAAGTCCTCCACAGACCACTGCAGCAAGATGGAGACAAGGAGCAAGCCCCACAGCTGCCTTGCCTTTGATAGTCCGTGGATAGCAACCCTCAAAGGCAGGAGCATGGTACCAAGATGCAGTAAGCAGCCTTGTGCTCTCCTCCTTTTCCCCACAGGCACATCCGTGCTCCTGGCTGAACCTCTGGGCAACCTGTAGGTTGCTCCCCATTTCCCCAGGCCTGCTGATTTTTAGATCATCACGTTTCATTGTCTGGAGCAGCCATGGGTCAGGCAGGCAGAGCTCGCTTCCTGGATCCAGGGGCTATTTTAAACCACACGTGCTCAAGCTCACAGCTCCGCTTGCAGAGCTCCATCCCACTGCTCCAGACAGCTCATTTGCACACAATAGAGCAAAGGGACAGAGGCTAAAAAGACATCCTGTGGGCTGGGGAAGATGAAGTAAGGATGAAGAAGCACAGCAGAGGCTGGGGAAGGAAGAGAGCACAATGAAATCACCTGTCCCGAAGATCTTTGGGCCCTAGCTGGACTTTGAGACCCATCCAGGGAAGTACCTCTGGATGGGCCACGTGCATGGGGCTATGTGCATCCCTCTGGACAGAGGGCTGGCCATGGTAGCCAGTCCAGCTTGGGAGAAGCTCAAGTGCCCAGGCTGCGGAGACCTGGCAAAGCAAGCCTTGTACCAAACCCACACCTGATGTACAGTTTGGGATGAACCAAACACCACACTTCCAACTTCCAGCTTGCGTTTTGTGCAAAGGCAATAATGAAAGCAGCGTGTGAAAGGTCTCTGTTTACAGGAAAATCTTTGTTTGCACAGGGTGCAACCAATGTCAAACCACCCTGGACCCAGGCTGACCACCGCGTGCTGCCACAGGGCTTAAAAGCAAGGCTAGTGGCTGGCAGAGCACGGATCAGCAGGGGCCAGGGACAACCTTCTTGCAGGAGACCTCCCTGCCATAGCACCCATCCTGCTCATGGACCTCGCAGCTTTTGGCTGCGTCTTGTGAGGCAGCAAGCTGCAGCAGAGCAGGCAGAAGGCCTGGCCGAGGATGCTCTGGTGGCACATGCACGATGTACAGGGGAAGGGTGCTAAGCTGCTGTACGTCTGCTACGTGAGCCCTGACGTGGCAGTTCAGAACTCAACCCACCCTCTCCCGGGGGATGATAGATATCACTTTGGAGAAATGCCACAGCACTAATTTCACATGTAAAGAGCACAACTTTCCACAAAGCATCCAAGAAAGGAGATGGACTTCTAAACGCTCCTAAAAATAAATGAAACCCACAGATGGCCTTTCAGATAAGGCAAACTAGGCTTCAGGAAAGCCAAACAGCCTATCCGCAGTGCTGCTCCCATCATCACCCGCCTCCCGCAGTTTCCTTGCCCAGCCAGATGTTGCTGCTGTGGGGCTGACAACTGCCATGACATTTACAGGTGTCCGAGCCCCGAGGGGGCTGGCTTCCACACAGCACAAATGTGAGGGGGGCTGATAAGGGCTATGCAGCCTCCGCCCCACCGGCGATTCCAGTTTGCACTGGCGTCACTGGGGCAGGGTTTGGGTCAGCCAGCTCTGCCTCTGTGTCCTGCCTCAGATGGGGCTCATGAGCTGCCCACATTTGGAAAGCCAGGTGAGGGCTTTTTCAGGGGTTGTTCTGTGACCCTGCAACAGTCCCAGCCCCAGGAAATACCGTCCCACCATGGCTTCGCAGCAGGCAGTGGTGAATGGCTCTCGGACGAGAGAATCTGCTTAGAAGTGGCACTTATCATAGAATCTCAGACTAGTTTTGAGTTGGAAGGGACCTTAAAGCTCATCCAGTTCCAACCCCCTGCCACAGGCAGGGACACCTTCCACTAGAGCAGGTTGCTCCAAGCCCCTGTGTCCAACCTGGCCTTGAACACTGCCAGGGATGGGGCAGCCACAGCTTCTCTGGGCACCCTGTGCCAGGGCCTCAGCACATTCACAGGGAAGAATTTCTTCCTAATGTCTATCTAAATCTCCCTTCTGTGAGTTTAAAGCCATTCCCCCTTGTCCTGTGCCCTTGTAAAAAGTCCCTGTCCAGACTTCATGTCAGCCATAGGCACTGGGAGCTGCTCTAAGGTCTCTCGGAGCCTTCTCTTCTCCAGGCTGAACAAGCCCATCTCTCTCAGCCTGTCTCTATACAGCAGAGGTGCTCCAGCCATCAGAGCATCTTTGAGGCCTTCTCTGGACTCACTGGCGCAGGTCCAGGTACCCCAGAGCTGAACACAGTACTCCAGAACTAAACACAGTACTTCTTGCAATGAGCTGCATGAAGCTTCAACTGGGTCACCGGTTGTATTACTTTTAGTGTGGCAATTTCATTAACACCTACAGCTTCTGACAGTTTCAAGCTACTCCCCAAAGTTAGATGAGTGTCATTAACTCCTTTTGCACAGGAAAATTCCCATTTTAAACAGGAAGAACCGGATCCTCAAGGCCACATTGGAAAGCAAGAGGTCAGCCAGTAAAAGGTCCCAACCCTGAGCTGCCTGTTGACCTCACCTGCCCATGCTGTCCCAAAGGCTACCCCTGCTCCTTCCCCTGTGCCCTCTTCCAGCCCATGCATCCACGACCAAATCCTGCCCTTCTCTTGCACAACGAGGTGCTCTCCTGTATCAGGCTCCAGCCATGATATGACCTGATATTAGAATCAGGCAGATTCACCCCTGCTCTTCCCATGGAAGCATCTACAGCAGGAAAGAAAACATGGGGGGACTTGTCATTAAATAATAGTTTCCTGAAATTTCCTCCAAGTACTCAGTAGCAACTCAGGGAATTGAAGGAGTGTTCCTTAATGTGGAGACCTGACTCCAGAAACAGGGCAAATACAAGGATATGGCACAGCATGACCAGCCCTGCTGGCAAAAAAAAGCCAGCTGGGAACCAGCATGAACTGTTAATGCTTTAGCTTAGGGGGAAATAATCCAGAAGTGAGGGATTTAAGGAGAATTACAGTAATTAGAGCCTTGATCAAATTAGTCAGCCCCCAGCACAGCAGCAGCATTACTCCTGGAGGCCAGCACTTCCCAACATTGCTCAATTAAAGGGCTGCCCCACTGCTCACACCATGCGGCAGCTCACTTGTGGTCATCCAAAACAGAGGAGCAACTCTCACTGCTTCTTTATAGCTTTTATTTCCCTCCACGGGGCTTTTTGGCCTGTATGGGAATACGATTTTGGGTTTGGTTTTCTTTTACACTTTTCATTTCAAGTGGTTCACATATTACCTGCTTTGCTCTAAAGGCCTTTAAATGTCCTCAGATCACAAGCTGAGAAGCACCGCTGGAGGCTAAGGGTGTATCATGTTGAACTATAAATAGACAGATACTCCTTTATAACAAGGAGAAGAAACAGTACATGGGAGCTTTGGTCCCATTGGCCCAATTCTTATTTATATAGCCTCAGTTTTCTAATAAGCACCAGTAAAATGACAGCATTTGGAACAGCAGCAGTGGGAACCAGGCAATGGGTTGTCCTGAGCCAGGGCAGCTCCCATCATACTTGCAGGCATCCATAGCAGAAAAGGGTCTTTGGGAAAGCTGCGGAGATAGGGAAGAGCTGTATGAGCAGGCAAGTGCCCTGACCCAACGTAGGCACTGCAGAAAGCTGCTATGGGGCACCACGGCCAGCAGCATCCCAGACAGGGCTGTGGGACAGGCAGGGGTACCTCATGCTGCTGACAGAAGACTCTTGACGGGGCTCAGCCCAAGGTCTGCTCTTTGGGTTTCTGAGGGTGGCTGAGTGAGGGATAAATGCACTGTCCTCTGCTGGCCATGAAACACTGAATGAAGAAGGTGCCCTCCTTCCTATGTGCAACATGCTCTGCTGGGCTTTCCACAGCCCAGGGACTTTGTCCCACACAGCAGTGCAGATGAGTCCCTTCCTACCAGTGGTTTGGTATGTGGGTAATCAGAAGTAGTGGCTCTGAGCGACCCAGTCCTGCTCATCACCTTTTAAACCTATGGTTTAACATGTGTTTAACCAGTGAGGTGAAAGAAAATACCACCAGGAAAGTCTACAAATCTGCTGTATAGGCTTTTTCAGGCAATGGCTTCCTTTGGTTTAATTCTATCATTGTTACACCACTATCTCTAGTCAGGAGAGGTACAGGAGTTTAAGGCTGCAGCTGCAGAGACTCAGATAGATGTTCTGGGAGAATTCTGCCCAGCTCAGGAAAAAAACAACCTGTCATCAAGAGACAGAAACTTCTTCAACACAGATGCATGCAGAAACCAAGCCATCATTTCTGCCAAGAGCAAGTGGCTGCCTTGAGCTACCACTGGGCCCCCAGCAGTGCCCCAAGCCTGACTTGCTGCAGACACAGTTTGACTGAGCTCCCCTCAGCTGCCAAGCCAACACCATGCCCAGGCATGTGATGAAACCCTTAGCTCAAGCATGGTACTACCTCTAACTCATGCTGGCTGGCTATCAAAAGTCATTAAGCCATTGTTAATGTTCACGCCAGCCTTTCTGCCCTAACACAACAGCTTTGAGGTTAGAGACCTAATTCTGTTCAAGTGCCATCTCGGAGGTCTCTCTGGAATAAAGCCTGCTTGCCAGGAGAAAAACTCCTGGGCTGGCTCATCTAATGGGGACACAAAAGCATCCCAGCAGGTGTCTCCAGCAACACGAGCTCTGAGCAAGAGCAGTCAGCAGTTTACACGTGTGGCAGAAAGTGCTGCTACTTGTGTTCACCCTGTTTCATAGGGCTCAGTTGCTGAATTTTTCCAGGCAGGGATGTAAATACATCCTCCTCATCAATTGGGGATAAATTCACAGTTCTGGCCCCAGATCAGCACACATTCAAGCTGGGATTCAGACTGACGGCTCAGTCTAGCAGCGCAGCAGTATCAAAATCAAACAACTAATTTGAGCCTTCAAGTTGGAAGACGGCACTTTGCATTTCACAGTCAAGGAAATCAACCAAGCAGCTGATTTAATGAGATTATGGCTAAAACTGTCCTCTTGCATTGGTGCCCTGAGGTCAACTGCACTCTCAGAAGAGCAGCTCTGCCGCAGGCCAGGTGCCTGACGAGGGTGGTTTGGCTTGCAGGCACCAGGGATGCCCTGAAGTGAGATGGTCTTGCCACCAACCTGCTGTGTGTGTGCCTCCGTGAGTGAGTTTAGTTACCAAATGCTCCCAGCAGCTGTTCCCCCTGCTCTGCACACCCAGAGCAGCCTCACCTTTATCCCCTCAATCCTGAAGCCCAGCGTGGCAGTCGAGCTGATGGTCTCCCTCCACTGCATGTAGCGGGGCTTGGTTACTGCCCGCAGCACATTCTCCTCCTCAGTCGGGGCATCAGGGTCCACCTCAATCATCTTCTGGTACATGTCCTTCCTCAGGCTCGGCTTCTTCCGGGCCTTTATCAGCTCCTCCTCCAAGTATGTCCTGCAAGGAAGGAAGGGAAACATTAGAAGGCCCTAGGACCACCAGAGAAGGTGCTACAAGCCCATAGACAGCCCTTGCCCCAGAAATCAGGTCAAGCCAGAAGAGCCAATATCTGTGGAATAAGGCAACACAAGCAATAACAAAACAAACCCACTGCAGGTAAATGGATCCTGATTTAAATAGCACTCCATCAGCAACACCTGGTTATCTTCTCAGTTCATCAAGGAGCCACAACCAGTTTGGCAGTAACATGGGAGGTTACTCCTCACAGGTGCCCACAGTGTTACTGCCACCCCTTGTTCCTGAGGGGGCCTTGTCCTCTAATGCTCAGCAGACCTGAGCTCTCACACTTAATGGCTCTCATAAACTTAACATGGCTTTCAAGATGTGTCCACAAAAGTGCCCACATGCTCTAGGACCCATCTGAGTTGAAGGCAACAGGGAAGTTACCATCACTCCTGGGACTAGGGTGTGGGGAAAGGAGGATGGAGAGTGCAGAGGAGTGTGCCAAGACCTTGGCTTTATGCATCCTTCAGAGGAGCACCACTCTGAGCCAGAGAATGCTAATGGAGAAATTCTGCACTCAGGCGTGCAGAAAAGCATCATCTACAACATAATACTTCCTGCAGCAGTAATAAACCACTATGTAACTCCTCTTGTGGCTCCCAAACCCACCCCAGCTCAGCCTGGCAGGTGCCCAGGCTCTCTCCAAACAGCTCATCAAGCTGCAGAAGATGCCCCAGCAAAATGACACAGGAATGCCCCCCCCCATCTGTCACCTCCAAACTGCTCTATACCTCCCCCTCACCATGCCCAGCTCTGCAGAAGGGCTATGCCCTCTCTCCATGTCCCTTGTGCCAAAATCCCTGCACTGAGAGTGAGGTTCACCTTCAGAACCAAGCAAAATGCATGGGGAGGATGCTAGGCAGACTACGTGGGATGGGGTTCCTGTGTTTCCCCCAGGCTAAGCAAGGCAAACTGGTGTCTTTTCTCAGGGCAGGGATACGCCATCCGCAGGGCACCAGCCCATTTGAAAAACACTGCAGGTGGACATGATGAAAGGCTTCAGCAGAGATCACCAAAGCCAGGATTTCTGGGCAGGCAGAATAAAAGAGCAGAATAAAGCAGCGGTGTGCTCACAAGTGCTGCTCACGCTGCTCAGAAAGCTAGGTTGCCTTTTGATGAGAATGACAGATTGTCTGTGGTTTGGTCCCCCTGCATCGCTGCAGGCTTGAACCATCCCCAGGGCTTAAGACAGACAAAGTTTTGTTTAGGGGTGACTGAAGGAGGCTGCTGCATTCCAAAGCCAGGCTGGCAGGAAAAATCCAAACCTGTATCTACCCGGCAGATAGCTGCTGGCTCAGAGGAGAGGTTTAACAGCCTTGAGGTTTAGTTTATCTGCCCAGCTGTGGGGATGCCCCTCTCCCCAGCATTAGCCCAATTCACCCTCCCTCACCAGCTCCTTCCACAACACCATCTTACTGAATGACGATGATGATGGTGCTCAGCATATATGTCCCCTTGCCTACTCTGCCTGTCTTAGCTCCAAAAACCCAAGTGCCCAAATTACCCAACCTGTGATTTGTGTGCAGGAGGCTTTCCTCCTCCCAGAGATAGCCACAGGAGCACCTGGGCAGCATGTCCAGCAGGTCTTCTGGTGGCTGTCATCTCTGGGTCCAGAGTGGATCCCATCTCCTTCCCGCATCAGCATGGTATGTGCCAGCCAGGCACACGTGGCTGCGCTGGGGCCCCCTGCCCTTCTCTCCACCCCTCCGGTGGAAAGTATTCCTCGTCTCTTCCCTGCTGACAGCCCGACACGCCAGTTCGAGTTTCACATCAGGAATTCAGGAGGGGAAAAATAAAGATTCCTCTCTCCCACAGAAACCATCAGCTTTTCCAGCAGCACAAGCATCTCCACCGCGTCCAGGCTGCACCTTAGCCAGCGAGGGGGGTCTCAACCCACCCTGCCGCTAGCTGCAGCAGACCCAGGGCTGAGCGGTGGTCCAAGGCTGCTCCAAAGCTGGCAGCCACCGGGGGTCACCAGCCCTGCTCACATTTGCTCTGGGACACCCTAGTCAGCTCAAAACATGCTGCTGGCCAAATGGCTGCAGCTTGGGATCTGTGGATGGTTCTCAGGGAGGACACGGGTAATGTTGCTCATCTGTTAGGAAATGTTTCAAGAACTGTGTGTGAAAGGCTCTAAACTACTTAGCACACACATTTTATCCCTCAAGTGTGCATGGGAGCAAAGGGTGAGCAGAGGGAAAGTGCCTCGCTTACGGAAGCTGTGCCATTCAAGTGTCTTTATTTCACCCCTCTGGCACCAGGGGCAGGATTTCCCACACCTTTTGCTCCCTGCCCCTTGGCTGTGTCCTCATGGGGCAGACAGGCAGGTTGCAGGTTGTGTTTCAGCGAGTTTTACCCAGGAGATGCATTTGCTTTGAGTATCTCACCAAACAACATCCCCAAAGCCACTCACCTGACCCCCATTTTGCAGTCCATGACGCAGGGGGAGTCGAATTCAGCCAGCAGATCTTCCATCTGGTTGTATCGCTCCCCATCTTTCACCACGTCGCCATGGTAGGCGGGAACATAGGGCTTCAGGACATCATTCATCAGGCGGTCGAGGCAGCGCTGCTCGGATTCACAGTGCTTCTTCAGTATCCTGCCGTTGGCCGCTGCCTTGAAACTACCTGAGGGTGACAAGGGACAGTGTACACTTGCATTGGATGGTGGATGATGCTGTGCCTTCCCAAAACAAGAAAGGCAGCCCAACACCCTGGAAGCATGTCCATTGACACCTGCACAAGAAAGAGTTCCCACAGGCTGGGACTTTCAAGCTCAAGCTGCCAGTGTCAGAGGTTTATAATCAGCAACATCACACCTTAAACAGGGCAGAGACCTGCCCTGCAGCACCTGCAACACATCTGCCTCACATCCTGTGCGTGCTCTGTGGTAGGTTCACACCTTTGTCTCTAGGCTCATGCATGGGGCATCTTTGTGCTGGGCAGCATCACCTGCTTTGCTGTGGATCAGCAAGAGCTTGGGTCTCACTCAAAGGACCCAGCTTTCTGCTGCTTGAGAAAATAGCATCAGTAACACCTTCTGGCCATGGGAGCCTGAAAGCACAGAGCACTGCACTTTCATGTCACCCTCCTTAATATTAGGTAAGTCACTCTCCTGGGATAGAGACGTGGGAGCTGAAATCTGTGACCTTCACGCAGCAGTCAGAAGCAATTCTGGCCAACAAAGCCCATTAACCTGAGATAATGAAGAGCCTTTCCCCAGCTCTGCCCCTCCCCATGCTCTGTACCTGCGTGTCCCGCTAGCTGGATCCAAGGATACTTCTTCTTGAAAGACATCACAAATGGGGACCAGTGCACCATATTCTTGATCTTCCTCCATGACTTGCTCTAAGGGGAAAAAAAAATAATGAAGGTGAATGCAATGTTTTAAGCTTTTACTGTCTGTAAAGTCACTTCAGGCAGCACACAGCTGTTTTGGACATGGGAAGAGGCACCAGAGCCAGCGCAGGATTGAAGCAAAGAGAGAAGCTGCTCTTTTCCCATTGCCCTGTGCCAAGCCAGAGCCTCTATATTCAAAAATCACAAGTAACTTCACTGAAGTGGATGGCGTTACAGTCTTGTTCCAGTTGGCTGCTGCTGCAGAGGACCCAGCCATCCGCACTGCTTTGTCTCCGCTCCCCGCATCCCTCTGGAGAAGCAGCGGGGACATTAACCCATCCTTGGGTACCACAGTTAGATCACTGCAGACGGAGCAGGGAGGGGAGCCCAGGATTTCTCCCCGGCCACATAACTCACCTCCAGCTTGTGAAGGGAGCAGGAGATGCTCACACAAGCGGGCAGAGGCTCACTGCCTGGCTTTTGTTCCCCACTGAATGTCAGCTGCTTTGTCCATTAAGCTGGCAACCCACGTGCCGCCGACCTGCCTGCTCCAGCCCATCTGTAACTACGTTTTAGGGAACAATTCCCTTCTGACATGTTGTGTTTCTCGCCAGATAGATGGCACAAAACTATTTACATGAGTGTAACAAGGGCTGCATCAGACGTACGAAAGCCTCCTTCGAAGGCTCTTTCCTGCGAGAGTTTTTCCCTGGATTGTTCTAGGGAACATGCCACCAGTAAAGGCAGGGGGATGACCTCTTATCTCAGCCCCAGAAGGCGACAGCACAAACAAATCCGGCAAACAATATGCAACGGTGACAATGGAAAAATGCCTCCTTGCAGGAGCTGGGACAAACAGATGGTGTAAGTCCTGGCTGCTCTGAGCTACTGGGTTCAGCTGAAAGCCTGCAGATAAAATTATCCTCATTTGCTCCGCTCTGAAGGCATGGGAAGGAGCCTTCCAGAAAGCCCAAGTAATCTCTTCCTCGTGTTTGGAGAACCAGCCCCTGTTCCAGTAATGCCTCGCAGACAGGCGCGGAAGAGCCAGCGGCCCTGACTTGCAGTTTGGATGCTTGTTGGGGGTGAACTCACGGCACAGGAATCTGTACTGGGAACTGCTGACATGTTTAAACGGCGAGGAAGAAGCCAGACGAAGTGTTTGAAGTGTGGAAATCACATCGGGTTACCCCTGCACCATGCAGCAGCCCCAGTGGAGAGTGGGGACACATCGCATGGAGAGGCAGGGGCTGCCTGCACGGTGAGGACCAGGGGAGAGAGAGAGGGGAAGAAGAAAGGTCCTTCCCCACCTCCCAGCTCGGGAGGAGCAGGGTGGCCCTTCCCTGGATGGCTGCCCGTGGCCCGGCGCGTCCCAGCGTGCCCTGGCACTGGGACAGCACTGCAGGAATTTGGCACGCAGCTGCCCAAGCGCGGGGTGACACCAGGCATCCCCTGCGCCCAGGCTCCTCCATGCCACGGGTTTGCTCTGCCACCCAGCTTGCTTGCTTGCTTTGGCAGGGGGGCCGGGCAGTTCCCTACCTGACATGAGGATGAATGTTTTTATTTCCAAACAGAGTGCCAGAACTTGTGTGCTTTAGCTGTTCTTTGTTCTCCCTTTGGCAGAGAGTGGGAGGGAAGTGGGGGGGGTGTCCCCTCCTTTTGTTTTTAAAATAGTAACATCAAGTCCTGGCTGATGTCATGAAGAAAAGAAGGGGGAAGAAAAAGTCTCAGAGGGAGTTTGGACTCCAGATGAGTGTGACCCACCTCCTCTAAAACAAGGAGAAGGAATCCTCCCCCCACTTACTGCACAGCACCATAAGTCACTCCGTCCCAGGAAACACGCCAAGGCAACGTGTCTTCCCAGGCCAAGAGTTTGTTTTTCGATGGTTAGAGCTTTATAGCTTGAACTTTGAGCAAATCACAGACAGAATGAAGGCAACCAGCCCCTGAAGCAGGACAAGCCAAACTGCCTTCCCCTGCAGGGGTTTTCCTAGGAGTGATGCACTCCTGGAGCCCCCCAGAGACACAAACCACCGCAACAGCCTTTCTGCTGAGCTGCACAAGACAAAAGCAGTCACTGAGCACACCCACATGAGAAGCAGGTTGCATGTCCCTGTCGCTATACACTGAAGGAATCATTTTCATCCAGGCACTACCTAATTTCAGGCACACCTTTGGCCATGCATTTCCAACCCAAGTTTTAGGGACATGTTTAATGACTTAATTTATGGGGAAGCTTGAGGCAGCTTTGTCCACCTCAAGTCACTCCCAACTTGCTGGAAATAGACTGTGTAGCAAGTTGCGGCCACTGCAGCAAGCTGTGGCTTCATGCAGCCACTTCCCCACCGCCATCGTGGGGACAGCCACATGGGCACTTGCAGGAGAGAGGAAGGACCATCCCCGCTGCAATCCCCTCAAGAGTGACAGTGACCAATACCCCCAGTGATCCTGCCACCCTCTTTGCCTGAAGATTCTCCCCAGGTAAGAAGTTGCTCCACGAGGTCATCCTTCGTACTTTCCCTGCTGCTTCAAGAGAGATGTTAATGGGGCTGTGAACCACTGGCAGGGTCCTCCACAGCCACTGGGGATGGCTGAGAGCTTCCAGCTAGAGGTCTGTGTTTATTCAAACACTGGCCTCTGTTCAGAAATCTGTCTCAAAGCTGACAACTTGGGATCCAGGTCCTGCCAGCCCCTGTGTGGGGCTCCTGCAGCTGGCTATGGAAAATCAGAGCCGCGAGGTTCACACCACTCCAGTTGGACTCCATGGCCATGTGCAGGAAACAGCCCCTCTGTGCTGCGTGCCTCCTGCCCTATTAATATACAAAGCACTATTAATATACAAAGGGAGCATTAAAGCTATTTACAGTAAAGAAATCTTCTTTAACCCGGCCCGTCAGGAACCATAAGGGCATCGCCTCCAGGCTCTTCTGTAACTTTTGGTTTATATTTGAAGGAATTATTGCACACAGGTGCAGGAGCACACGGGCAGCTGTATGCTGTATGCACATGGTGGAGGGGTTACCTGCAACAACCCCCCCCCGACTCAGACTAAAGGATTTTAGTGTGAGGTGTCCCTGCCCATGGCAGGGGGGCTGGAACTTGATGATCTTAAGGTCCTTTCCAACCCTAACTATTCTGTGATTCTATGATTTTTCCCCACGCTGGCAAGAACAGCTTTGCGGGTGGTGTTACCAAGCGATGCTGCTGAAGGCCAGCTACGGGCTCTTCTAGTTTGCCTACGAGGAAGTGAGCAGGCAGGTTGTCGTGCTGAAAGCCAAGCATGCTTCACACTCTTTTGCATGATCAAACTCTGTGCCTGCCTGTGGCACCCTGCACCCAAATCCAGCTCCCTGGTTGTTTTCCCTCCTGCAAAGCTCCCTAAGCCATGTTGACTGCATGTGGCCTGTGTAAGCAGTGAACACGCACGAGGTGTCTGATGAAATTCCACACTTTTCATTTAAAACCTGTTCCAGCATCAGCAAATGACTGATTATCTGTTAGGTAGCAAGTTAGTGACTCTGAAATATATTTAGTGAGGAGCGGCACAGTTTTCCCTCATCATCTGCCACATGGAAATGAAGCTGAGCAACTGTCAGAACCAGCTCTAAAAATGAACTTCCAAGGGTTCTGCAGCACTCTGCTTCTGTCTCTGCCCTCTTACAGCTTTCACTTGCCCTGGAGCACGGTGCCCCAAGCTGGAGGTGGGATACGGGCCAGAGGAGTTCAGCCCTTCCAGTGAGCACCCACAATTGGTCAGTGGGAGAGGGGTGCTGGGAAAACAATTTTATCTGCTGCATGTTTAACTTTACTTATCTGAAGCTGAAAGCAAACTCTAGGCTTTCCCCATCTGTCAACAGAGCTTCATATGGAAAGAACAACACAGGAGAATTTAGTGCCAACCCAGAAGGTCAGAGGATATATTGTGTTTAATTAGATTAAACAGAAAGTGACTGATGAGCTCAGTGCTCACTGTACATTTTCCCTACAGCATATGGCATTCCTTTAATGTCTGCCTGCAGGGTTTGTGCCTTTCTGGGACTGCCTGTCGCCTCCCTTTCCCAGCACGGATGCTGGTGGAATTTGACTGGTGTGATTCCCTGTGCACGGAGCCAGCGGGGTGCTCTTTCCTTTCCATGCATTCGGCCAGAGAGATAGGCAGTAACTGATTTAATTTGCTGAAATTATGGTTTCCTACAGTTTTATGGGACCAAATGTTCCTGGAAATAGCAGGAGCTGGACCTGTATTTCAGTGCTTTTGATTAACTAGAGCATGCACCATCGGAGGCAAGATTACACAGCTGGGGCAGGGGATGGGAAAGAGTGGGAGCAGTGTTCAGTTAAGGATTTTCCCCATTCTGAAAAGAACCTCAGCTCTTTTCTCCCAGGAAGATCCTGAAATAGCACAGGATCAGAACAGACGGAGGAAAACTATGAGGAGACACCACTGCCCACTGCTTCTCCTGGCTTCAGTGCAACTGCTGCAGCACAGGGGCTTGCACGAGTGACACCCCGGCTTTCCCTTCACCCGCACCAGCACCCTTGCTCACTCCCCAGTCACCAAGGGGACTCTCCAACCACACTCCCATGGGGCTGGTGAGGGTGGAAGGTACAGTGGGCCTGCTTTGCTCTTCGCTTTCACTTCCAGCTCTTCCAGAAGGAGAGGTGCAGCCCTGCGGTGCCAGGAGCCCCTGTGGGAAGGGGCTTTTGGCACAGCTCAGAAGGGCTCCGGGATGTTTCACTCACTGAGCTGCTCCTTGTGTCTGAAGCCTTGCTGGTTTAAAAGACAATGTGGTGAGCAGCTCAGAAGGCAGGCTTTGTGCTGGGGAGCCCTCTTCTTCCACAACTGAAGAACTGGGGGGAAGCGTTTGCCCACGGAATTCACTCGGCGTCAGCCTGCTCTGTGGCCCCTCGGACACAGCCAAGGAAAAAGAGGCCATTTAGTTTTCCATGTTTAAAAGAATGAATGTGTTTTCTTCTGGTCTTTAAAAAGTAGTTAAGGTTTCCCTAGTGAT